TGCCTGCCTACCTTGCTGCAGTCCGACAGACTACGCACACACGCACGCGTTTAGACAGTCAAAACAGTTTATGCCCCCAAGTGAATACGCTCTGTCAAAACAGTTAGGCACAACACACGACATTTCGACCGTCGGGTTCGACGAGACCCACTGCGTGCATTACCCCAAGATGGGCGCAGGGACGGCGCCCCGTGCGTGAGTTAGACGCTAGTGAGAGTAGCCTTGCACGGCATCTACCTCAGCCTCTCATCCCTCCACCAACTGGGCCCGGTGTCATGACAAATTCAGAAAGGCCAGATGAAGTTGGCGCGGTGGGAACGCACGCCTAGACGTGCCGCTAAACTTGGCTCGCATTCCACGCAGTGGGAGTGTCACAGAGCCATCAGTCGCCCACTCCACACACATAAAAGTTGTTCCTGCCTTCACTGCTCTTCTCTAGGCCAGATTTTTGGGTAATCGTCATCTATTCCCACGAAGTGGCCATTATATCGCAGTTGCCTCAGCATGGCACGAAAGCCGCAGATTTCCGTCCAATCCAGAATATCTCAGATATAGAATTATGTGGAGGCAGCTGTGATGGAGGTGGTTGAATCTCTGGGCTTGGCTTGGTTGGAGTAGACGGCGCAGATGTCCGCTCCATACAGGAGTGTCGTCAGGACGACGACCTTGCACATTTTCAGTTTGGTCTCCAGAAAAAGGTTGTGGTGATTCAACATAAAAGGCTTGCGGGCGGCTGAAAACCTGGATTGTTTAGGAGATCCGTTGCGCAACTTCATTACCAACAGGCTTGAAGGCAGCCAGCATATATGGCTGTTCCTCGCCGACGGACACTCTGGGTTCCGTACAAAATAAACTCCTCATATTGGTGCCTTCTATTTTATCCTGTTAGCAGAGGATTGACCCATTACGTGGCGAGCTCATGTGGTGTTAATGCTTTAACCACCTGAAATACGGGGTCTCGAAAGGGAGTTACGAATTCAATGGGATTTGGGACAAGTTATTCGCGCGGTCTGCTGCCGCGTATGGAATCAACCAATTCCGATACACTAAACTGACGACCAAAGATTTCCTAAGCAATCAATCTAGAATCCACCAGGACAAATTTTATTAATACGTGTTAATTATACGAAGCTCAAAATCCTTTATTTCACACTTAAGGACTCGGAACCACACAACTTAAGATCTAAATTACGCCCATACTCGATTCTAAAAACTTCTAGACTGATAGTGTTCAAATCCATTTTCAACCGAAGCTACAATTGTGTCACAATCCCACCATGCAAACAGTGAGCAGCTTCAAGCAAATTCTTGTGCCTTCCTCAATTCCTCTGAAGGTGTGGTGGATAGAGCATACAAAGACGCGCTAATAGCCGACCCATCTGAACATGCAATTTTTTGGTCATATCCTTTCAGACTGGAACGACCAGAAAGAAGCGGCTGGCACAGTGAGTAGTTGAGAGATAAGCTAAAAAAACACCAAGTTCGTAGACACTGAGCAAAACCGTATCAGCCCTAGTGTTCTGTGCACTGAATAAGTAGAAAATAATTAGTCGGGAAAGGTTAGCTTACTTGTTATTCGTTGATAGGGAGTAGGAAATAATCGCAGGTGCATAAGACATCACAGACAGATAGATGTAGGACTCGGCTTCATGTATAATGTTAAGGATGGCATCCAGGTCATCATTCCTTGTTGGAGGTGTCATAGGAGCCGGAGACATCTATGAAGGAAGCAGCGGGTGCAGAATCCGCATAAGTTTTACAGTAAGAGAGTCGACAACAATCCTGCGGAAAAATGTAGGCTAGTTGTATTAAAACATGCTACTTGTTTTACAACAGTAGTGTCTTTTGGTAAATTACCGGAATCGGCTATCGTGGCCTAGTTTAAACAGCAGCCATGTCTTTTCTCTGTCAAAAGGTATGCCATGCTGACTAGTTTGTGACCATCAAACGTCGAAAAAACCGAGCGAGAGTAAATTTGGATCTGAAATTCAGTCAGCGGCTTCGAAGTTGTTGTTGTTGTTGTACTAGCTTACTCCCTTAACCTAGTTTGCCAGC